GAATTGTTGGTAAAAGGTTCCTGTCTGTGACTATAAGTTGGAAGCTGGATTAAGTGGTCCATCTGTTTCCTTCTTTTAATGCATCATTTCCTGATATGTTTGACGCGTCGCTGATCACAGAGTGGGATTCTGTCCAATTGGTCATAGATGCTTGACGTCCTGGTTTTTGGACGCCAACAAAACAAAGCAATAGTAGCAGTCATGGAAGAATTAGTTTGTCTTGTTTAATTTGTATAACCATGAGAACATCAATAGTTGAATAGCCTGGAATTCCGGCTTATGATACACAATAAAGTTGAGAGATTGAGAAATATGTCAAGCTTAGTAGAGAACTGTCAAAGTTATACAACACTGCCACTGACAGAAATGAAGATGAAGCCATTTTGACTACTGCGTCTTATATCGCCGTCAGTTACGTGCCTAGTCAGTAATCAGGGAACTGTTGGTTCGAACTCTACTGAGACGCTTTCAGTATCAATCACTGACCCCTTAATTTATGATTGTTTATCTGAAGAAAAACTGTCTCACATACTTTAACGGAATATGGATCACACTTATCAGTATTTTACTTTGTGGTTCTTAAATTTAGATCCCATTATGTTTTCATGCTCATCTATATTTCTTGATTATGATTAAACTAGATTTTTAATTTTGTAAATAGTCACACTAGTTGATCCACCGGAAATAACATTTTCATAGAAAAAAACATAACTGTCTGACAAAATGCTACTTAGATATAAAAGACTTAAAACGAGTAGTGCGATAGAGATCATTTTCCCGTTATTCGTTTTCCCTACACGTAAGATCGAAATCTGCCGTCCCCACTCCCATAGCAACTACTCATTACATTTATTTCAATCAGTTGTATCTAAAGTGGATGATCAGTTATCCTGTGATATTTGAATTACAGCTATTATTTTAGCTTACGTAAGGAATATCCTTACGAACGGTACTCAGTGACAAAATCAATCGAAAAGTATGATCATTTTTTCAGATTGTATTAACGTTTTTCTAGTTCAAATAGTGTGTCAAACTTCATGAAATAACAATAAAGTATACAGTGTGTTGGCTGTGATTATTTTTCATTTAAACTAGGTCAGGATAAAGTGAATTTCACTAATTTTTGCGCCTTTTTTAATGTAAACAATACATTACATTTTGTTCTGTTTGAGGTCAAATTATTCGGTGATAATACGGATATGCGTAAAACAAAATGTTAGGATTACCAGTATCATAACGGTGCACTTAAGGATAAACATCATGTATATATATATCAATGAGACTACCTGAGACAAACTTAGTTTGGCTGACTGGTGTTGTTGATATTGGATAATGATTGAAGCTGAGATAAAAGCCTGAGTCATAGCAAAATTAGAAACATTGGTCTCCGGGTAACCAGACACTTATGCTTTGCAGATTCACATGTCACCTGGTCGAAGCTCTAGGTGATTGAAGTGATTGAAGGGTTCATAGCTCAGTCAGTAAACTGCCGAACCAGTAACCTGGAGACATTTGCACGGAATCCTGTTGCGACCCAGATTTTTATTTCACCTTCACTCACAACCCATTATATATATGCAATGTATGTTTGTGAGAATTCCCGACAATAAACGAAATCCGTTTTCCACATCTTTAGTTTCTTTTCAAGTGGTATATTAGACATTTCGGTAATTAAAAACCTGTGTAATGAATGCCAGTTTATTGACTAATTGATAAGAAGTCTGGGAATTTGTGATTCACTCCAAAGGATGGTAAAATTATCCAAGTCCCCAAATAACGATTTATTTTTTTCTCGTTTCTAGCCAGTTTCAGCTGGTCAAAGTAAATGTTTACATGTCTATTGCAAATCTCGATGCTGTATTTATCTGATACTTCTTAACCGAATCACTTCTTATCTTATAGATATAAAGAATACTAAGGATCTAAAATATGCATCAAGGAGTAAATAAGAATGTAGACGCTTACATTATAGTATTTTAAACAAAATTTTATACATTTTACATTGGACAATTTCAAGAGGATAACTAATTGCGATTACTTACCTCATGGATTTTTATATTCACCGCTAACAGGTTAACATAATTTAATCGCCTACTGGATTACATTTTACCGGAGTAAACGGGATAGATTTTGGTATCTTTTTGTAAGTAAGGAAGGATAGTATGTAGTCTTCATATGTACTTATCGATTTATGCTGTTACCTAGGTGACAGAAGAGTTCAGTGATAAAGATATGGTTTACTTCTTCAATGAAAGTTATCTTTTCAAATTACTCTCTTTCTCTCTGTGTTAGATGATTGAATGCAGACTACTAGTATTTTGAGATGATGAAGAATGTTTGTAGCTCAGGAGTATGATTTTGATGTTGTATTCTCTAAAATGGGTAGTTTAGTCTTGAAGCTTTTATTGTCAATTCAGCTAACATCATCAGCATATACTTAAGAGAAGGAAGTCCTTCTAAAGTTTGTGTTGATGATAATGTCTAGAATAAGAATGAAAGTTTCACGATTAAGCCATCCAGCTCAGAGAACATAACACCATCAAAAGCAAACAACTAGTATTCATTTACTTGGATTTCTTGTTCTTTATAGTTTATAGAATTTTCTATATGTATTTGCAAAGTTGTTAATTTTTAAGCTTTCTTAATCTCTATGACAGATCAGTCATAGCCTGATAAATTAAAAAGGTACCCTTTAAAATTTTATTTCTGATTGGTATAAGGTATCACCTATCTTAAAAGGAGTATGATTTACCCTTGGTTTATATTTGTAGCTTCTGGATGTGTTGACAAGGACAAAATGTAGGTGTCAAGTTGGCTTTTAACTATCTACTTTTATATGAAATATACGTAAAATTGGTGTTTTACAAGAAAAAAAGTTCTTTATTTTGTTGATCAACTTAACGTAAAATTAAGATTTATCTGAAGTCTCAATGCCTGTTTACTAATATTCATGAAATCTTGTATTTATATGAATGCTTTACAAACCAGTAATAGTATATCTTCATGATAATAATAATGACTGGGTGAAAACAAACTATGCGACACTTACAGAATTCAATGAATAACACAGACTGTAGTCTATCTGTCTGTTCTAGGTGGTTACAACTACTTCTAACTAAGCATGTAGACGTACGCAATTACTGTCTCCAACTATAAGACCAGTATACATTGGAATAAACAAAGGTTTATTGTTGTGTAAATATTATGTGCGTCAATCAAGGGATTCAAGTGTGTATATTATTTACAATACACCATATTATTATTAATAATAACTCATTCACTGGCTTTCATTATGTACAAATTTATACACGTGCATTTAATATAATATATAATCTAGGCAGTTAACTGGTATGATACTTTATTGTACGATGTACAATTATCTGATTACATAACTCAAAATTATAACATGAATTGAATAGGTTCTAATTGTATATTAACCTTAGTGACAGCGTTTGGAGATATTATTTGCATTTTATCACGCTTATATTGGATATAAACAGATGCATCAATTCTGTCTGCAGGTTACGTAAAAAAAAAGGCATACTACTTCTAATAACAATAATGACAAGGGCAAGGTCAAACGATGGTACAAAAAATATTTTATTGAAATTGATATGAGTTGTATATGAGTAAACCATAATTTGTCACGGATATGTAATGATTAGATTTTGATTCAGTTTGAATGCATAAGTTTATAATTTTAAGCATATGAACTTCTTTCAACATCAGTCAAATGGAGGTGTAAATTATCCTATTACCGAAAGAAATATGATTTAAATCCACAGGAGGAACACTAATTTAGTCGTGTGGAGGGGAAGCACGTACTCTGGATTTCATTGCTGCCAGTTGTGTCAGATAGATAATACAATAAAATCCATGTTGAACATGTTCCCACCGGGGTTCGGACTCGCAGCGACCACTTCATACGCCAGAGCGTTATCCACTACACCACCGAGCCACGATAGCCACTTCTTGTGCTACGGGTATAGTTTTAGTATAATTGTTTCTGTATCATACCGTCTGTCTGACGAGTCCCAAGTAGGACGAAATGTGCATCCTGGATTCCACTGCTAGCCACTATCCATCATTACTATCACTAGAGCACAGGTAATATCGAGGCATCCGCACAGGAGCCCATATGCCAATAGAGACCGATCAACTCGGTTCAATCAATGACGGTATGATATAGAAACAATTATAATAAATGAAATATATTTGTATAGGGTTGACGGTTCTGCTTTTGAAATATTCGGTTGCATAAACAGATTTGCTTTTGTAGAATACTAGAGTGCTCAGTGGTTTTCTTTTGCAGTTGACATTCAAACCTTTTTCTCATGTTCTGATAGATTTCTGTTGGATAAATTGTTGGCAGTCTTCAAGTTGGTAGATTGGTTTTTTTCCTGCTTTCATTCTTTCAAACTTTATAATTTGTCTGCATTAGGATGTTTTCAAATGGTGATTCGCTATTTGGTTGAATGTAAGGAGAATATTATGTAATTCCATGAAAAGCATACATTTAATTATGCAATCCAGGTTCTTTATGCGTTCATGACATGTTTTCAGGTTGAAGGTACATTTTTGCATATGTTCTCTAAGGAAGATGTGTGAAGTGCGTCATGGTGCTTGAATATAGCGCATCAAGAGTGTTCCACAGGTTTTACATCTAGACATTTAAGTATAATGTCATCATCTAGGCAACATCACTTGAAGATTTTAAGTAACCCTTTCTGAACTAGAGTATCAACAGAAAATCTAAATAGTTACATGATGCATACTGAATTCACAGCTAATTATCAAAAGAAAAGTATTCAAGATGTCTTTCGACTTGAGCAGTCAGATGAGTTTCCGGATACTTTACAAAGGTGATTAATTGTACTTATTTGTTGAATGCCTTAGAATTTATTTGCTTATTATTTGATAATTATATTAAAGGTTAAATATTAAAAAGAAAATCAATTATTTGTTTATCTGTCTTTTTTATACATCATTTTTCATTTTAGTTTCGAGCTAATGTTACCTTGAAATTGGGTCTTAGCAATGATTTCAGTTCAGAATGTGATGAAACTGTTTACAAAGTTCTAGTGTGTGCAGGAGAATTCACTAATCAGTAAGTATCAAGTTACCTGAATTATATTCATCATTTTATATTAACATTTTCTTCTGGAGCTGACAACAGTTTTTTGGTATAGCAACAAAGAGTTTAGTAAATGAGAATTTTTTTCCTAATTTTTTAAAATAAATGCAGAGAAATAAATTATGTTCTAAATGGTGAATTATTCTATGAATTGAGAAATATTAGATTGTTCTTCGAAGATGAAATGATGTTAAGAATGAGGATAAATTACTTCATAAAGTCATGTAAGGATTAGGCACGAGTCATGTAGAAAACCATCTTTAAGATTGTTATTTTGATCATGAGATAAATTTATTACTACATCTTATTATCAAATACTTTGGAGACAAGATCGTCTTTAATCATAAGGCCAACCAGAGAAAAATATTAGGTGACAAGTTTTGAGATAGCTTATAACAGACTGTCATATCTAATATGGAACTGTGGAAAGCAACAAAGCACTCGATATCAGTTTACATTTAAATAGGGTTTGTAATAAGTTTGCGTAGACAGCACTCACGATCAAGGTGAAAAACCTTCAACTTTTAAGTTCAATTCCTACAATCTCCATTTTTTAACCTCAGTTAATAATATGGCAAAACCAAAACACTTCAAACCTGCTTTACTCTCCGAAATCATAACATTCTGTTATCACTTCCAGGAGTTCCTCTTTTGAACTAACAAGCAGTTCCAATGAATTTGGTGAGATAAACTTTACTAAATAGTCTCTTCTTGTGTTCAATAACTCATTTTTTCACTTGATTTTTACCAGACAAATTATTATGTCGTAAATATGAGCATTGACAGAAATTCAGGTCCACGTAGAGAAGACAGAGGCGATGAAGATACCCAGCCAACAACAAACACCAATCACCCTCAACGCCAGAAATCTAAAAGAAGTTGTCTTTTTCACCTACCTGCCTGGACAGCATCCTTTCAACTACAGGCAGTATCGGGACAGATGAGGATGTCAAAGCCACGATAGGAAAAGCAAGATAGGACTTCATTAACTTGAAATCAGTGTGGAGATCTACTGCACTGCACTATACTGCACCCAGCAATAAGGATGAACAAGATCCGCATTTCCGACACTAATTCAGTCAAGTAAGTCAGTGCTTCTATGTGATGATTGAGACACTTGGCACGTTACGAAAACCACTTCAAACAAACTGCAAATATACATCATCAACACATGCCACCTACACAAACTCCATACTGAAGATGGAAATCAGATAACCAGAATAATAAGAATCAGCAACAAGGAACTCTGGCTGACAACGCAGCAACCAACCAAACAACCAACCAACCAACCAACCAGTCGAGAACCCATCACCCAACAAATGTGTTGAAGACGAAAGTGGAGATGGATTGGATGGGGGGGGGGCATACACTGAGAAGACCATTCAGGGACATCATGAGTCTGACCAGATTAGATCAGGTCAGGTCAGTTCAGTTCAGGTAGTTCAGGTGAGGTGAGGTGAGGTGAGGTGAGGGCGTTGATTGGAAGTCAAATGGGAAAGGATGAGTTTGGTGTTTGTGGTGAGGGTGAGGGTGAGGGTGAGATGGAGGAGATGGTGTGAGGAAGAAATGGAAGCGTGTGGGCAATCGTGGAGGCAGGTTGATTAGATTGTAGGGAAGAGAGTGAAATTGCGATGTGCTACTGGATTCCTATATTGCATCGGGAACCCATGGCACAAATAATAATAATAAACTATGAATATTGTAGATAGAAAGGTTTATTTACAGTTTCATGCTATATTTTTGGCTTTCTGAAACTCACAAACAACTTGAAGTGTCAGCTGAATAGAGTTGGTAGATCTTACAATATTCTGTCGAATAAAATTCAGTAACACAAAATAAGTTAGATGACAATGCGGTAATAATTCCTCTTGTCTTAATCGAGTATGAATGTTTTTATTAGTCATGTTGAACAGGCTAGTTAACTGTTTTATAATTCTATCACCATGGTGAACAGACTGGCATATGTCTACATTGAATTACTTTACATATTTGTAAGAAATCAAAGTAATTTTGGTACGATGCTGTACGACATAAAAGTGTGTGACAGTCAACTAAAGCCTCAGGCTGGTTATGTGACAAAATATTTATTTGTCATTTATTCACTGGATATTGTTATCTAATTAATTTAAACTGTGTATTGTTAACACTTCCAGAGACTAAGTACCTACCGGATATAATAAATGTTATTATGTACAGAGGATGGAATTTAATTTCCTCTCACAATCGCATTTATTACTGCCTTTTTAACTCAGAAAGTATTGGTGAGACAATCTGAGGCAGTCATAATCTGTCACATGCGTATTTGTGATAAGAATAGAAAGATACTGACAGTTTCATCAAAAAATCCTTTCTACACTTCCCCAATTTGATTAAGCCTGGCTTAAATTTGAATGAGAAGACTTTGGAGGGCAGCTAGTGACAGACAGGCAAATCCTCAGTGACTGAAGTAAAATTAAGACCTAGTCAACTGCCATTTCTTGTAGTCTAGTCGACAGAGCTTCAAAGTCGTAGGCTGGAGGTCGTTGATTTCAATCCTGCTAAAAATCAGGTTTTCTTTCACCTTCATGCATCAATTACTTATACAACGGTCAGTTACCTCAGCTAAAACCACGTCAGATAATCTCATTAACCTGAAATCGAAAAGTGGAAGACTCAAGAAGTTGATCTTCCCGTACTTTTCATACTCTTTCGGTAATCGTTATCTGATGTATTTGATTTACTTGTTTCATGTAGAGTACAGTATCGAAAAAAATTACATCTGAAATTGGAAGAAGTTGTGTTACAGTTTGTGAAGGTCAGTAATAAACAGATGAGATTAAGGGTTGTACAATTGGAATAAAAAAGGATGAATGACATTTTTGACATCTTTTTTAGGCATTAAAATGGGAATAAAGGTTCAAACAGTAACTTTAGTGTCAGTAGAAATTGTTTGTGAGTGTAAACAGGTTGTCGATAAACACTGCTATATACATAATGATGTCATAATATAAATGGTGAGTGAATTGCTTGAACGGATATTGATTATTTCGTAAGGATACGGTAACCACTTATGAAGCTAAAAGTTGGCAAAAAATCTCCGAAAATGGATAGACGTCAGAAGATGGATGATAGACTATCAGTCTACCTTCATAACTGCCAAAATAGCCAATTAAGTTTCTCGATTGTACGATAAGATTATTTTCCTGCCTAAATGAAGAAACCTGATTGGTTAGCTCCATAGTTTAAATGGTGACCTCCAAAGTCACTCAGAGGGAACAAGTGGTCAGTAAAAATCCGATGCAAAAAGTATTTATTTACTAACAAATAATCGACCGCAATATAAGTAGGATGATGAGTAATTCTGTTAGACGGTTGTAGACATTTGACTGGGAGCCGTGCATTTAGCTTAGGTACTTTTTGACACTCTTTAGCTAAGTGTGTCTGCAACCTCGTATTGCCATCATTTAATTTCGGGTTTCCTTTTGATTGCCATCAACCATTTAACATGAATAATAATCGTGAACCTTCATGTTGAGTTTCCTAACATGGTGACTATAATATAAAGTGATCGACAGAATTTGGTTAGAGAAAATGAAATTGCTTACTTTCCAGTGACCAGTTATAGAAATGAGTAAGTAACTTTGGAAGTAACTAGAAACATAGAAAATGATCGAATACTGCAAATTTATTGGTTTGGACCATAAATATCAAGCTTCGTTTCAAATTACTATATCAGCGGCATACTAACTGGATCTCACAGCTACTTACTGTTCATTGTTAGTACCGCTATGTTCAAAGTAGACATTTTTTGCATTGGACGGCTTGACATGGTCAGACACAACTACACACACTTAACTGAGGGCCAGGAAAATCCGTTCGCAAAATACTTCCACCAGAATGGCCCTATAATGGAATATAATCCTGCTTTGAATTTACACGTTGTAACCTTCGCACTAAAGTCAAGCAGAAGTAATCAGTTTTGAAAGCGAATGACTCATACATATTGTAATTGTAAACGACAATGGATTATAATAAAAACAATGAAGAATACTTAAGTTAACATGTAGTTGTTTCAAGTGTCAGCGTAGAACTCTTTCACTATCATTCGAACTGATATAAATATTTTTAGGCTAAAAAACGGTGAATTCCTGCCTTGAGCTTTCGTAAACTAAGTACATGTTACTTATACTACTATTGTAATGATAGCTACTTATAAGATATATTAGTAGTACTTATAGCAACCTTGAAAGTGATAGTGATCGATTTAAGAGAGATCAGACAGTAGGAAAGTATAATACTAGATGGAAATATAAAAACTGTATGGAATGATATGCAGAAGATGAAACTCACAAATGGATAGTTTATTGTTGGATAAAGTAATTTCATCATCAACATTTGCGAATTTGTAATTAAAACTGCTCATGGTATCGTTCGCCGAAAGCCAGACGTTGCAACAAATAGGTGATGGTTAATTTTATTATCTTCGGTTTCTACAAAAAAAACCTTATATGCTTCCAACTTTTGATGCATGTCTGCCTACTGTCTCAACTGTTACACATAAACGTCTTTAGACTAAAAAAGGACTTTAAAAAACCTAAATGCTTGACTAAATGCATCAGCCGATTCCAGTGATGATATGTGAATATTTGCCCTAGTCAAGTGTGGATTGTAAAGAAAGATAATTATTTTCCTCTCTGTTATACCTTAAACGTAAAGTAGATTTTATGCCGGTCTCTCGACAAACAAACATCGACTTCCTTCCTTTTTTAAACATTTTTCTTTCTAGATGTCAACTAGTTGGTCCGATTTCTCGATTTATTCAAGCAACTTGTGCTTCTCAAGGACCACCAGAATCATTAAGTTTCTTAGTCTCATCTGTAGTAAGTTTTTATTTACGAAGACCAACTTTTTTGAGTTTATTGAGATTATCGTTTACATGAAGCTTATTTTAACCAATTTAACACTTTACATAGTTTTTAGAAAGAAAGTCAAGTGTATTTTCTAGTGTAAGGGGGTAGGATTTAGTCTAAAATCATGTAAATGACTTACAAATTGCATAATCCACGTTTGTATTTCTCATAGTTCATCTGGCTAGCTGTGTTGTGAACAGGCTTTCCGTCAGCTAAGATCATAGCGTGTTGCCTTTGACACAAAGTGCTATGAACTAACTAAAAATACTACGAAACAGCTTGAGTAAATTTAGATCACTCTGATCTCAGCGATGAAATCTGCAGGTCATCCTAAGTGATTTCTAGCAGCTCAGGTTGTTCAGTAGTATACTCAATTATTTTATTTTGGTTAAATAAAAGAAGTATTCGAAATAAGATGTACTACTAAACAGGGTGAGTAAGTAAGCACTACTCACACTGACAAGTGCAATCCACTGACTACTTGATATATCCTTGTGGTATATATATATATATATATATATATTAATATGGGTGAGCTCTTGAACAGTAATCTTGGGCTTCACCCTTGGAGATCGTTCGGTTCTTCGAGAACACAAAAGAAGCCACAAAGCTATACAGGTTTATTGTCTAGTCGAATATACTCACAAACACTATCCGTTTATGTTCATATTTTGATGGCCTTGGTAGGTTCTACAACTTCCTAGAGAGTTCTTTAGCCTATATGAGGGTCACACATATCATCACAAGGTTTTCACGAACTTTCGACTTTCGACTATGATCGGGTGTAAAAGCTTTTTAGGGATTTTTCAGGCTTTCTTGAGGAATTTATAGAATATTGTCATATTCCCAGACACTACCACCGGGTTGAGTAGAAGCCAATTTGTCGGTTTTATTTAATATATTGAGGATCACGACAGTAACACTTAATGTCCTACAAGAAATCATAACATGGATCTTATTAAGACCAGAAGATACTATGATAATAGTTCACTTTGGTACTTTTTTCAAACGATCATAAAAACTGAAGCAATAGTGCTCGACACCATAGACTAACTTTCAAGGTCGGTAAAAACAGTCTTAGGAAAGGTTTAGAAAAGTGGGTCAAACCATTCTGAACATGTGAATCCACTGAACAACTTCGTCAAGCAACTTGATTATTTCAAATTCCATAATCAACTTTCATTTTCGTTGCAAACTACCTTAAATAGGGAAAGGGTTATTCTGGAATGTTAAAAGTTGTTTTAGACGGAAAATTTACCGGCGTTTCTAGTAAGTAAGAGTTTAAAGGACGCCAACACTTTTATTCTCTTGAATTTCAGTTTTCTGACTCAATAAAGAGGAAAAATAGATCAAGATGGTTATGCCTACATAATGTCATTCTTTCTCAAAACCTTGGATAACTTAATGTTATTTATATTTACGTTGTTAAAATAAGTATAGTAGAGCGCTGAATATAATTGTCAAATTAGTGGGTCTACTTCAGAAGTAGAAAACTTTGAGTCAGAGAGAGACACCATATGTCCCCATACTCCATCTTATTTCCGTTACTTTCAAATCAATTTAAGGATACTAGCTGAACATTTATTTAAGGTTAAATGGGTTTTTTAATGTAACCGATTAACAGTTTTACAATGTGATTAAAGAAACTTATTTTCAGTTTCAGACGATCACTTGGTAGACTGGCTGTTGGTTCTTCCCAAGAGATTTTCATCAGAGTCGATAAACTGTCAAGCATTTTATAAATCTGCATTTGTAAACAGGAACATATATAATAATGGGGTAAAGTGTCTCATCGACTTCAGATTTCTATTCGCTTAATGATACACTTGATCTAAGAGTTTTAGATGGCACAGCTTTCTAAATTTGGGAAACCGCAAGTACTAACTTCAAGACTGTTGCTTACAATTTTGTTATATAGATGAATTTTAATAAACATGAGCAATCTTAGTAAAGATTTATGTGGTAGAAGTCGTATATTGTTCAGCTTACTAAAAATACATTCTCGTCTTCAATTTGTCTCTGAGGATGCCTATTTTCGGACTTTTCCTTTATTGGAATAAGGTGCTGGGAGTAAGTAAATCATCTCTTCAGTATGCATTTTCTGCTGCTCTTGTCATAAGAACAAAATGTCCATTCTTTGAACTGAGTCATAATTAAAACACAGTGGTACAAGTAGAGTGAACCAAACATAATTTAATCAAGGCAATCATCTCTAAACAGTTGGTAGTATGTAGAAATTGTCTGGTTTCAAAATATTTTTTAAATGAGTCAACATCAGTTTAAGAGGTACTGAAAACCTAGAAGTAGCGGTCAGCTGTTTCGTCCACTTATGGAACTCAGCAGTGCGCACCCAGCATCTTATGAGAGACAGAGTTTAGGAACACCAGGTGTAATGGCGAACATTTCACCATGTAACCCCCGATTTAGAATGTAAACTTTCAAACTGTTTTACTTCTATCAGTTCAAGATGCATTGCAACATACATCCTCTGTCGTTGGAGAGTACTGTCCTCACACCTGCCTACAACTCAGCTTCAAATCATATACTAAATAGTTATATGCTCTTTATGCAATTTCGGTGTATCTGTTAAGTCTCAAAAGTCATTTCATCGACTATCCGGTGACTCAGTGGGGAACCACTTGTTTGAGTCTTGTCACAACTCATATTTTTCATTTGCCTTCATTAATCATTCTACTATATTAAATCCAGTCTCTTAAGGTGAGGATATATTGAAGAGGTTCATATGAGCGCTTATAATTTACTAACCAAGTGAAATTTCGAAAACATTTTTGTTTTATGGTAATTCATTTAATTGTAGCTACCATAAATAACATTCAAGTTACATCGAAGCATCCGCATAGGAGGTTATATACCAATAAAGGTCGAACACTTCGATCCAATAAAACAACGGAGAATTACAAGTATATCAATAAATAGTAATCTTTGTTTGATATTTCAATTTACGTTTTACTTCTTTAGGAGAATCCAATTGAATTAGATGTTACAGTTCAAAAAGTTGGTGAACAAGAGATTCAACAACTTCGTAATACAGAATTTCGTTTAACAGAAGAAAGTGAAATATCTGTAACATCACTTGACCTTTCACTGTAAGTTTTTTGCATATAAATATAGGTAAATGTGTTAACTGTTCAGGTTACTAGACTTAGGCCTAACTAAATGCAGACAGATTTTATGAATTACATACTCAAGTAACAAACAGGAATTACTGACTAAACGTCTTCGAATAGAAGGACTCGAAGTAACAAAGTTAGAGGTAATGCGGAAGTTTACCAGCTGGGTCAACTCGTTGACCTTAAGGCAATGAGTAGCTAAATCCCACTCAGAAGACTGCTTCAGGTGGCTGATAATCGGGTGGAATAAATCCATAAGCTGCATTAGATAACATGATAATGGGTACTCTTGAGTGATGTATTATTAAATATTTGTCATTAATAAAAATAAGAAGACTATTGGAATGTTTAACTTTGAGTTCTGCAAAGAATAATACTCTCTCGGAGTTTTCAAAGATATATTTGTAATGATGAATACGTGTAAACGTTGGATCTTGGTTAAGTATCCTCCATGAAGTGATATTATATGAAAAACAGTGAATTTTAGTATTGTACTATTTTGCTCCAAGACTTCCTTTGATTGGTTGAATTTGACTAGTATTATAGTCCAGGGTAGCCAAAGCAACCGTCAGATCATAAGTACTGATCGAAACGTATGGCTACTAAGTGAGTCATAGTCGGCGCCAATCACCAGGAGACCACTTATAGATTTGATTTTCCTACTTGTTAGTACTTATTAACAGTAAAAGTCTAACTGCAACTTAAGGAACCCCATGATCTTTCCGAATTTCCAAGGTGCGTCTGAAAATGGTTTAAATACAACTTAGTGAGTAGGTGAACCTGGAGATATAATGTGAATTCCTAAAGAAAGTAAGTGATGAATGCAGTACTCTACGCTTAGATGGTGTATTTTTAAATTAAAAGATATTAACAGTGTGATCTTTAATTTCTCTTTCATTTAACTTTTGAAAATTTAAAAAATAGTATCACTCATACTTCGTCTTTGATCAGACAAAACTAAAAATTAGTCTGAACAGCTTATAAGCTTTCTAATTGTTCTAGGAGTTAGTACTTATAAATACATTATTGTTGAGTAACTGACTTAAATGTAATCCACAATCATGGAAATTCCTACAGTACAAAAGCAGACTATCAAAAGAATAGATGTCCCAGATTTCCACTGCTAGCCTACAATTCACCTATAACATAAAGAATATTCAGGCAATATTGAAGCATCCGAATAGGACCCGATCTGCCAACAGAGATCAAGCAGTTCGACCCAGTGCAAGATAGGGACAAACTGAAAATGCTAACGAATAGAAGTTTAGATATTTTAATCACTGGCATTGTATATATTTTATGCATGTGCATATACTAGAAACCAAGAATAATGAAGCAATTTAAAATATATGGTGATTCAGTTAGTCTGGGCTCAGAGAACACCAGACCACTGTTATACTCATTTTGAACTACAAATTATTTATATCATTCCATCCGGTGCACTCTTTCTGTTTTCGTATTCACGTCATTGAAATATATTTGAATTTGTTTACGTATCATTAAAAGCCTGAAAACAGGTTAGTTAGAAGGATCTGAACGTGATAATAGGTTGATAGTGAGAAGGCGTATTTCACGTTGTCATAATCATAGAAACTGCTTTAAGTGCAGAACATTGTTGGGAGGTGATGGACTGACGAATATTGAAAGATGAAAGTCTTTTAACATTGTGAATTGATAGAAGTAGGAAACTTTAGACTGTTAAATCCCAACCCAGCTGCTCAGTGATAACATGTTTGTTTAGAAACCTGAAGGTCCTGGCTTCAATCTCCGACAAGTCATGGGTACATACCACTAAGGGATTCCACACTACAGTGTTTCAACGGCTCATCAATTGATGTAAGTTTGTGATAAAATACCATTTTGAAACCAAATAAACGGACTTAGCCCTATTGAGTCCTCTAATCTAGATGGGTTATTTGTAGAGCTATCATTGTTTTTAAGAAAGACTTTGAAGGGTTATGATAAAGCCATTTAATTTACGGAACGCAACAGCATCAAGATTTTCTAAAAGTGGTTCTTAAGACTGTTATATCTAATCTATTCAAGACAATCCACATTTTATATTTAAAGTACTACAATGAGGTTGCCCGCTTCTGAGACTCAATAATTATTTTCAGTGTAATTTAACTCCGTTGTTTGAATATAACCGTTCAGAAGTTATCCATTGAAGATTTATTGTTTGCTTCTGTAGGCTCTTAAACTTAGCTTATTTTCGAAGTTATAAATCATGTTACATTTAAACTAGGTGGTTCATAGTGTCACTTAAGTGACATTAGTTAGCCGCATCGCTTATCTAAAACGACAAGCACAAGTTTATTATTATTATTTGTCCCTTGGGTTCTCAGTGGAACATAAGAGTTCAGTAGCACGTCACTATTTCACTCTCTTCTCTGCAGTTTTTTGAACCTGCCTCCACGACTACCCACAAGCTTTCATTTCTTCCTCACACCATCTCCTCCATGTCACCCTCACCACGTACACCCAACTTGTCGTTTCCTATTTGACTTCCATTCGACGACCTGACCTCTAGCGTGATGTCCTGAAATAGCCTTCTTAGTAGTCACTTGGAATCACAGCTTGAAAACTGCAGTATCTACTATTATACGACAATAGCCCTCATAAAAATGTAATGTATAGTTAGATAACTAACTAGTCGACAGCGTACATGACTGAAACGTTTAATGATATAAATTCAAATCTCACGAAGGTAGTCAGCATTCTTCTGGTGATTGATGCGGTGCATTATTAAGTATTTTTATTCATAAACCTAAATAGAGAATACAAAAAGCTATCTATTGTAGATAAGTGTAGTATTATTAACTTGGGTACACTTACTGTTGTCAGTAAACTAGATTGAACTGTACACGTTCATCCATAAATGCTTTTATTACTTCAATGTATCTCAACACTGTCTCCATTGAATGGATCAACATATTTATCTCTATAATCGCTTGGCTATCCTTTGCTACTAATGTCTTTTGAAATTCAACCAAAATGAAATACTGAAGTTCGCAAGATACGAATTATTCCTCTTTTTTTTAGGTGTGTAGTTGATACTGAGGTTTATATCAAGTCAAAATCCTTGTGAAGGTTGAATCGGTAACCTTCTAATTCGCTCCGAACTAATTATCCAAAGACTGTTGTTTTGAATATTCATAAGGTTTGTCACAACTTTATTTTCACTGAAGTTGCATGAATAGATGACAATTTACTAAGCATGGTTACTTTAGTCTAATTAACTTTATATTTTGAACTGATGAAGTGAGCTAACGAATTTATCCTACGGTAAATCTGTCATATTTTTAAATCAGTTCCTCTTAAATTACTGTCATGATACTCATCATTAAATATACACCAGTAGATTATTCAACCAGAATCTAATTTCTTGAATATTTGTAGTAATCTTGAAATTATTCTGCACAATTAAGTGACGGAACTGACTTGCACTGTCATTTTTCCGATGGTAGTGTTCGTAAATATGACCAGCAGCACTAAACCAATATCCAAATATATAGAATAACCACATAGTCAAAAAAAAGTCAAAAGTCAAAAAGTCAGAAAATTGGATTCTTGGTGTTTTACAACCTTGTAGAGGACGATTATTATTTGCAGAATAAAGTCTTTTCAATGTTAAATACTTCAATGAACTAGTTCACGTCTAACCACTCATATTTACTTACCTTTAACACATAAGATGCATAAAAAGGAAATGTGCCTCTTTGATACCCTTGATGAGTGGTCACTTACTGAAAAATGCTTTTATTTTATCCGTTCACTAAAAATGATAGTCATTTTATTTTTCTAGTTTTAGTTCCTATGTTTGATTATCTAAGGAAGTGTTTTATGAAGTGTCGACAATTCGCCGTCTTGCTACCTTAAGGTTGTAACTGGTGGTTAATTTTATTTAGAGGAAGAAAGGAATGGCTTATTTTCTACATTTACTGTCACCCTAGATGTTACCCGCTTAAAAGTTTAGATATTTCAGGTAAATTTGTAAGTATACTAATCAAACGTTTTGATCATTGGCTGAATACCTTGTAATATGAAGTCAGTCAATTTATTAGTTACCCTGTGAAAATGATTAATAGAATCCAACCAACACTAAGTAATGGTATGCGATTAAAGGCTTCTTCATTACCATCCACCGTCCTTGACTTAGTCATACAAGAAGTTGGATGTAGCGCCGAGAATTTTGATGGTGTTGATCATTACCACTGACTCCTCCCAACTGTCTGATATCGAAGTTAATCGTGTCTTACACCGTAAATGGGAAATACCTAGATCATCAGTTAGTTTTAAATCATACTTAACAGACGTTTCATCCTTCACACAGTTATTCAACATAAATAAGAGTGCCTCCACGTTCGATGATGACTGTGTCCACTTAGTTCACTTAACAAAGTGGATTATTTTCTGCATTACTACGTATGAAAAATTGTATCTATAAATCAAATGGACTACAGAGCACCCTTTTACGTTAACAACCACTTTTCCCTCCTTCTGAATATCAACAAAGATCTGTTAATTTTCAGTGGATAGTATTCATCTACCGGAATTAGTTTATTGAAATTGTGGAATATTTAATAAACCAGTAATTTACACGTACATTGTCACCTTGTCAATAAAAAGGAAGGACAAGTGAGCTACTGAAACTGTTTGTATATTATTTCATATCTTTTTCGATAACATCTTATCTGGTCTAAAAATACCTATTTCGAGACATATTTAAGCAGATGAAAAGTATATTTATGCTTATTAAGGTACACTGAACACCCTTTCAAAATGGACACTTATCTTTCTTTCTTGGAATCATAGATGACAGCACAAGCTAAGGTAGTCGAACGTAAAAACAAGTATTACCAAGATAAGAAAAATAATCTCTAATATTTAAATATAATGAACATTTTTTGAACATTCATTAATTCATCAAAATGTATATCAATGATGGTTCTCTCCTTGCAAAATAATTTAAGTAC